GACGTGCTTAATCCAAATGGGAGCCTATTGAAAGTATAAGACTGACCCTCATAAGTGAACCCAATACACTTAGTATGGCCACTTTTTATAGGGATTTGCCAGTAAGCCGCGGTCAGATCGATTGTACTTATTACTTGTCCTTGTTCAAAGTTACAGAGAAGTTTATTCGGATTCGGTGAATTAATGACATCTTTTTTCATCCTAGCATTCAAAAAACGCGCTTCTAAACAAACACGTACGCTTCCATTCTTCTTGGTCACACATACCAATGAAGAAACGTATTCAGTCCTTTCCTTTTAAATTATACCCCGAGCCAACATCTCCTCTACTTGAGCTAACACCTCCTCCCTATATTTAAAAGGTACTGGGTACATCAACGCGTTGAATGCCCCATAATCTGATAATTCAATTTCATGTGAATAGCCCTCAACACATCCCGGGCCTTCCGAGAAAACATCACGATATCGTTTTAGAATCTCGAATAATTTTACTTTATTTTATATTTTCTTGGCTTGTACATGCTTTATCTGCTGCCTCCTGCAGATCACCATTCGAATATTTATGTTTAGTCACTGGAAACGTATCTGAATCTTCAGTCACGATTTCATCAAAGTTTGAATTTTCACGAGAATAATTAGCAATATTATTCCTGAATAAGTTAATATGAATATCGGGCTTGAATTATATATCCATAGAGAAAATTCAATCTTCCACTCGGAATTGTAAAACACATTTATCGAAATCGATCACGGTACGGTATTTGAGAAGCCAATTCGATCCAAACAATATTTCGCAATTTAAATGTGGCACCACTGAACAAGTTTCATCAATTGCCTGACCCGCAATAATGGCAGGCAATAATATTTGGACCTTCACTCGTTGGGTTTTACTCTCCAAAGCGACGGCAATGGTGACAATCGTAACTGGTAAGATTGGTATGTCAATATTTTCGTTTACCAATTTTTCATGGAAATTCTCGGAGACGGCGCAGACATCTGATCCACTATCCAAAAGTGTTTCTATTTCTTGCGTCCCCATTGATACAAGAATTGTAGGTGTCACCAGTTCGCTAACTTCTGACTCACTGTCGGAATCAGTTGAAATATTCTCAGTGTCCCGATTGAAATGAGTTATATAATTTATATTCGGTCGTTCATCACAAGGTTCATTATCACGGCAATTTGAAGAAAAATTTCGTTGGTTCCTAATAATTGGAGGATCCCTCGGGATATTTCTAGGGTTCGCATTACCCCTACCAATATTGCGGTCGAAATTTTGAGATGTTTCGTACTTATAAGTATCGTCAATTTTTTGCAGATAATCCTCTACTGCCTCAATTTTCAAGAATCCGTTTGTGATTATTCTATCAGCTGGGTAAGGCTTTGCTATTATTTTAATCAATTTTGTAATAGGAGTTTTTTTGTCAAAAACCCTGCCTGACTGACACAATTCAAAAGATATTCGGCTCTACTACCTGACTTGAATCTACTGTAATTCAGGTTCAAAAATAAATCACGTTGCTTTCCAGTGCTTGAGAAACGCTCCTGGAATGCTCTTTGAAATTCATCATATGTGATCAAAGTGCTGTCTTTCATCATGGCTCAATCTGCAGCTGTACCCCTTAAACACGCCACTGCAAGAACACGCCACTGCAAAGCCATTTGATGCAATTTAGAATTTGTATAAAAAACCAAGTTGTTACCCCCATAGTTCCTTTCAGTTCGATATGTAAGATATATCTTCAATAATTGGTTAACTACTATTTGCACTCGTTTTTGCATAAGTTAACTCAGAAAGAGGAATTTCTGACTCAGAACCTGCCTCCGACTTGGTTCTCTCCAATATTTTCAACATTTATAGCTAAGTTCCCTACTGTTTCTTCCAAAGCTATCTTTCCCTTAGGCAATTCATAAAGCATTTGTTCTACGCCTTCCCTATCATTCACTGGCACCTCAGAGCTATTTTTGCTTCTCTTACTTCTTCGTGAACCCATGTTCGAGCCGTTTATATTTACTAAGACTTAGCAATTACTAGAAGTAAATACATAACGAGTCCAAAAACATTCGACCTTTAGATACATAAGAATAAATGCGTGAATTCATTTTTGTCACGACTAAAAACAGACTCAATCTGTCTTTTTCTGTGCAAGAAATCGTATGAAAATTCATCCAAAATAAATAAATACGGAACCGCCTCCTGTGTGATAAGAATCTTCTAGTCTGCGCTAGGCAGTGCGGTACGAGCTAGGTTGTCTTCATTGGTTCAACTAGAAATTCAGAAAATTTATCATTTCAATCATAGTGGTTTTGTATTCTGGAGGCCTTCTGAGGAAGTCAACGAAGTGAGTGATAGTGATTCGAAGGAAGAGCAAGCGGAGTTCGCCAATAAAGTCTCACACGTTCAAACGCAAAGGGTAATTTAGAATATCTAGTCGCGTCTCAAGGACGAGAATAATGATTCTTCAGAAAACCAACTTGAGAAGGGAATACAGTAATTAAATAAAATAAGTTATACCACTATATACAGAGTTATTAGAACAGGAGATGTTGTAGATCATGAAGTTAAACGAAAAAGAGTGGGACAAATACTCAAGAAGCTTGATGATGCTTCGAAAGAAGTTATTCGTCGAATTGTATATAGATTGTATAATGCGAATAAGGTGCCGACATTGCCAGATATCAGGAATAAGTTGAGTGAATACGCGAATTATAATTACGAATCGTTAAGTACGTTGTGATACGTCTTACTAGATTGCGGGTTCAGCTATGAAAAATTAGATGAAAGGATGGTGATTATGGAATCAAGACGCATCGTAGACCATCGGCAAGCATATCTACGTAAAATAAAGGAATACCGTGAAGCGAATAGACCTATCATTTATCTAGATGAAACGTGTTTTGTCACTCATGACGTTGTTCAATACGGTTGGGTAGATGATAGCGAAAACTGTAATGTGAATGTTAATTATTCTCTTCGTATGATTTTAAACCAATCATAACAACGTTCAATTGAGTAAGTTACCTTGTATAATCTCGAGTAACTCTACCAATCAGAAATTTAGAATTTTTAGCATTTCCATAGTTGTTATCTTATTCAAATTGTTACATACATCTTGAAGTTCCTTATACTACTGATAATTTTTATTGAGTTTGATGTTTTAGTATTATTTCATTTTGTTGAGACTCTTCTTTAAGTTCAATGTTTCATTTTTATTTAATTTCGTTGAGAATTTTTATTGAGTGCAATGTTAAATTCATATTTTATTTTGTTGAGAATTTTGATTTAGTTAAATTTTATATTCATATTTCGAATGTGGGACGATAGGGCTATTGGCGAACACCCATTAAAAATAAGTAACCAGCCATGGGTGCCTCATGAGTGGTCTGGAATCTAACCAATATTCGATACTCGCATGTTCCAAAATGGATATATAGGTTATTTTTGAACGAACAAGAGGTCATTCAGGGGCAGCTTCAATTTGTGGTAATGAGAACAATATTTTACCCGCCGCTGTGACCTGCGGCTTGTCAAAGGATTTGCCGACATGCAGGTGGTTAATTTTTTTTTGTTTTTTCAACTGACTCCGTATAAACTATAGCTAATCCACGTCGAGCGGTGTATACTTGTTGCCTTTGATTCCCGCGTCGACAGGAACTTCTCCTCCAGCGTCTGTCGGCTCTTTCGCTGTTGCGATGCGAAGGAAGCACGCAAAGCTAACTTAATCGCGCGGCAAGTCACCAACCGCCGACCTTGGGAGCCGAATCCGAATATCACACGACGGCCAGCCCCTGATTCGATAAGTTCGCCCTCAGTAATGTGACGACGAATAATTCGAAATAAAGCGTGGCTTTAACCCAAGCACGGATTTTATGTCCACCACCGGCACCACCTATTCCCAATGCAACAATACACTGTCGCACTGTCCAAGTGTCCAATGTCTCAAAGAACTTCTCAAGATACTTCTCAGTTTTCCACTACTTCCACTACGCTGTTCCGCGAACACTACTTAATTGTTCCCTTTCACTGAAAATTTGCCTCGACTTGGTCGCCAAATGCACTCTCTCTTTCTCGGGTAGGTAAATGTTCAACTTCAGTATTTTATCGTGTCGAAACTATGCATTATTGGTCAAAACGGCTTCAATGTTCCTATCTCAACTTTTGATCCACTATCTACTGAAATTTAATTGGAACATATACAGTGTGGTTCCAGATTCAGAATTCTGATCACACTGTATCTGTTTCAATTATTAAATGTCAGTAGATAGTGAATCAAAAGTTAAGATACGGACATGAAAGCCTTTTTGTCCGATAATGAATAGTTTCGTCACAGAAAAATCCTAAAGTTGAAAGATCTCGATTTTGAACACCCTATATCTCTGTAATCATTCTCGCTAGTAACTCAGGTGTGATACATTGATGAAATCAACTCTTCATAGAGAATCTTAAAATACATTGAGAAATAAGGTGTTCCATTAAAAAAAATCAAATAGTACCCTGTAGATCGTTTTTTCCGAGAATATTGTATTTTCTGATATTGCGGAAAAAACCTCTATGGAAAATCATTTCAGATGATCTTCAAAATTTGGCAATCGGTTCAAAAATAACTGAGCTAGAGGAGGAGGGGCATTTATGGTCGATCACCCTGTACAGGGTGATTGACTATGCATATCACTGATTCAACAGCTTTCAAAAATAAGGGAATTGAGTGAAAAAATCAGAGATTGAAAAAACAAGGTGCCATTTGAGATATTTTTATATTTCAAATATATTTGAAATATTAGCTGTTGAAAGTGAAATCTGTAATCAATCACCTTATATACACATTCATGAGCTGTCATTTCCTCATGAATGGGATGTGGGAATATAAGCTATATGCTGATATATAATTTAACAAAGTAAGAACCTCATAGTATGTCACAGTAATATATGTCACATTCAGAAGAAAACAAAAATAAAATTAAAAACTATTCAGGTACAAATAATACTGTATAATGTCGTTTTCAAAACACGCTCCTCTCCTTTGCACTTCTTAAATATTGTCGAGCTGCCTCCCCAACAGTCCTATCACAACTAATGCTGGAGTTATCAGCTGCATCTAAAAGTTCATTATACACCACTATATGAATACTAATATTGAAGTGTGAATTAACAGTTATGACCAAGATCCAATTTGTAGTCTGAATAATTATAAATCGCAGCTCACACAAAAAAAATTCAAGATATTCAGAGGAAACTGAATAGTATGCATTGCATTTTCAGTTTTCAAGACTGGTTGAAATTGTGAAATTTATATTCAATTGAACTTACTCAATAAAACACGTGCAAGGTTGGATTTCACTAATGAGTCTTTAGATTTAGTCCCAAACCATGTGAATGATGACGCGAAATCATTAGACATTATTTGATTCATCAATCTTCTCACAAAATCGTACACGGCAATTCCACCAATTTTATAAAATTCCTGAACCTAGAGAACATGTGAGTCAATGAAAATGGCATCGAAGACAACTGTGTTATAGGACATCTGTTCTAAAGTCACAAATAATTTGTTCCAGGATTTTCTTGTAAGACGTACATAACATATCCTTCACAACATGTCCTTCACAACATCAAATCAATTCATGGTCAAAATAGTAGAAAATATAAATTCAAATTATTGAATAATTATTTGTACTTATAATATATGGACAATATGAATCATATATGAATAATCAGATATCCAAAGTCAGGAAGAAACAATGGGAGAATTGCATCAATTCCTATTGCTCAGGATATTCATAGCAGATACATCATCACACTATATTCGAAAGCATAAAGATAAATTTGTTTCTTCAGACCAGAAATTTTCTGCATTTTGAATTTTTCCATAGTGTCAATCGGAAACGAAAAAATATTGACTATTGATTATTTAAATTCACTTTGAGTTTCCCCCATTTTTATTGTTGGATTCCTTCAGGAATTTTCTGTATGTCCCCAACTGCATCTGTTACAATATTTGTTAGAATATTTTGTTTCCTAATGAGAATCTCCATATTCTCAGAAATAGGACTTTGCAGAGTACAAATCAATGTTTTCTAATGCTCCATTTCTGTGAAGGATTTATGAAATACATTTGAAATCCCAATCCATGCCCCCACTCATTACCTTCTTTATGGATAGGGCAGCAGATACAACTATCAATGAAGTAATTTGTAGGTCTATCATCATCTCTGTGTTGCAATTGTTCTCTGTGATTCGAAGATGTAGCATCACTCATTTGACCTGGAATAAGAGCATCAATAAATAATATTCCAAAAAAAATGAAGCATACCTTCACTTGACAGAGATAAAGAATTAGTATTGTTATCCTTTACTGTCACACTTTTGGATAAGGCAGTATTTTTATAACCGGAAAACAAGCAAATTCATCTATAAAGAACATTTCAAAAATCAACTGAAGCATACCACCACTGGACAAGATCGGACTTTCTATCCATTATTGTCACACTTTTGGATGGGGCTGTATTCTTATGATTTCCAGAAATAGTATCCATTTCTGTCATTGAAAATTATGAAAAAATCACAGACTCAACAAAATATACGGTGTGCACAAGATAAGGATAAACAGCATGAGGATCGCAGTAACTGTTTCTTCAAAACAAAACGTTGGGAGTTTTGTGAATGTCATTTTGTAGAGACGAAAAAGTGGCAATGAGAAAGTGCCTTTGATTTTTTCGAAACTTCAAATAACATCAGAAAAAAATAAAAACCAAATCACCAAACTCGGTAACTTCAAATATCTCCGGAAGTGACACTATTTTTGGGTCGATCCAACATCTATTTATCTATCTTTTCATTACACAACTTTTCGCTCATTTGACCTACTTTGTGAATCTTATGGTACCAGGAATCTCATGCTGTTCATCCTCACATATAATATTGTCGCGAGCCGGCCTATTCATTAATACCCCTTTATTTGATTATTATCCAATCTCCATGAAAAACGATCAATCAATCCTTTATTGTTCATCAAAACTTCACAGTTTTATAACAATGTGAGTTCAGGCAGAGATAAGAGACGTAACGAAAAATATATAATAGAAAGAACATGAAATATAAAAAAAATATATATAATCTCCGTGCAATGCATACAGTCGTCTTCTTCAGAAAACATGTATCAGATGAACGACGATGATACTCCTTATAACTTCTGTAATATCTACGCAGACCTCGTCCAATTATGACATGTTTTCCAAAGCTACACACTTATACAGTAACAGAAAAACTGAGCCACTCTGATACATAGTTGAGTCTCAAAAAGAAATAAACAGAAATAAGAATTACAAGTTATTCATTCAATATGAACGAACGCAGTTTCAAAACATTCCATATATATGTAGCTGTAGCTTTTGCTATCGAAGGCGTAATATTCTCGAGAGCATGTAGCAATGCGTCAGGGCTGTTCAAATAAGGGCAGTTTGAAGATCTCATAGAGCAAAAGATTGGAGAATCTAACATGAGGTGTTGGATTGTTTCGTTTGAGTGGTGATTACAGGCGGTGCATAGTTCATTGGGATTTTTGGTTTAGAAACTTTGACACCTTGATTCCTCTTAGGAGATATGTCTTCTTCCCTGGGTCTTTTGAAGTTGTCGTTGTCAACTATTTGTGGAGTTCTATTGACATATTTGATAGTGATGTTTCTCTCACCAGCTTCAAGTCTGGTTTGCAGTTCTTTTCTCAGCTCCGATAGGTGTTTTATTTGTGCAGGAGTTGAGTCGGGCTTAATGGAAATGGTAGGAAACGAATCACGGGGTAATTTCGATTTGTTCCTGAGGACACTCAACACATCTTCAAAGGAAGCTAGTGTTACTTTGAGTGGGCGTTTTTTCCCATCTGTGGGGACCTTGCCTAAGCGCTGAATATTATTTATTGCGATCCCATTCGTAATCTTGCTTAAAATATCATTCGCTAATACCAGATCCTCAGCGGTATTGCCTTCGACCAACCCCATTATTAGGATGTTTCTTTCTCTACTGATTCTATCAGAAATTTCAGCATGGATTTGATTAGCATTAGATTTCATGTTTAGCAGTTCATTCTCGAGGGTCACAATTTTTGTTTTCAGGAATTTATTGTCATCGCGTAAGCTGGCTATTTCAACGACGCAAGATTCAATTCTTTCAGAGTGGGCTGTAATTGTTGCAGTCAGTTCTTCAATTTTATTATTGGTAGTAGTAATCGAGTTGTTGAGTGTCGAGAATTGAGCCAATATTGCATTGAATCGTTGTGTGCTGAGATCTAATGTGTCATGAGAAGGAGCAGGGCATTTCTCGCACCTCCAATTCGAAAGCGTATCTTTTTCGACATCTACAGGTTGCGGGCGAGCACATACACCGTGCCAGCGGGAACGACATACTGAACAATTGATTGCTTGTCGATCTGTAGTGGGGATCGATTTCGTGCACGCGTGACAATTAGACATGTTCGATTGCATACCGGTATGAATGTTTTTTGTTTCAACTTATAGGTTAAGCGAAACCTTTTGATGATGCCACTTTTATTCGAATTTGACGATAACAAATATAGTCAGTTGCTCAATCAGAGTCTAGCACTTACTTACTAGTTCCTAGTGCTTTCAAAAACTCACTGCCACTGAAGTCAACACGGAAAACAATAGGTAAATTCGCACTATCACTTTATAGGTGGTCACTTGTCGAGCGGCGGAACTGAACTCCAATCTCCATGAAAAACGCCTGGCTCACGATCTAGGGGGTGAACTCAGATGGTGAAGATTTAATAAATAAGATCTTAGATAAAAATGGAACATGTTCATTCAATAATTGTTAAGGAAATAAATCGCTTTTGGGTGTATGATAAATTGACATTCATCATATATATCCATTCTTGTATGTTCATAATTTATCTGAGAATATTCCTTTTCAACACAAATAAATCGCCTTCAACAAGAATGTATGAGTTACAAATAAAATATTGAAATTATACTTACCGGAGATTCATTTTTAGAGAGGTGGTCGAGGTGTGGTCTCGTTCGCAGCTAGGTACAATCTGATTATTCCGCTCCCAAAGGTGAATCCATTGGAAGTCGCGAATAATATCCAATTCAGCAAAATTGGCATTATTTGATGATTATTGCAATTCCTTATATTTGGATATCTGAATAAGTTATTCGTTATAGTCTAGTGAATAGAAACAATATGGAATTTAGAAATAATGTAGTATAGTATAGTTAATGAAGATAATAAAATTCGGAAATATTGATGTGTTTGATTTGAAGGGAATATTGATTTGACATTTGACACGACCTTGCCACCCTCTAAAAGCAGACCCCGCTTTTTAAACAAGAACAACCTTCCACCAATTTTCCAATGAATTGTGGAAAGTTCTCATTCATACTGGAAACTATTCAAAATATTAATCGATTAAAAAAATTGAAAAAGTGTATAATTGTTATTCCTCAATGTATACCTACGAACAAAACTTTATTTCAGAAGAGAAAAAGAGAAAAAAAAACAAAAAGGTAAATCGTATTACCTAGTTATATTATATGGATATAAAAAGAAAAAAAATGAGTCAGTTATGTAAAATAAGAATGAATACGAATTGAATCCAACCACGTCAAATGTCACTGACACTGCACATCACCAAACAAATTATCTTGGAGACGGTCCTGTCCCTTGACTTCCAGTCCCACACACGCCGACGATATCAGCCGCTGAGCGTGAGTAAACTGCAAAGTAAACTGTAGTAGCCGACGGGATCCTGACGCGACCTACTCATCATTCCGGTACTCCCATCGCTCTCTGCTACGACGTCATGGTTTTGTTCATCATCAGGTAGAAAGCTGAAGTGGATAGTAGACTGGTAGAAACTTGTAGACTAGTAGACTAGGAGACTGCAAAACTGCCAGACTATGATACTGAACATCTTTGAAGCTAGTTGACAGCAAAACCTTGAAAATTGGAGACTGCTTGAAGGTGGTGATCTGTGGTCAGCCAGCCACATGGAAAATTGGGATGGCCCTTGTGCAGCCATATCAGCCCAATCAAAGCAAGACCGAGTAATGAATAAGCCCATACGTAAAACCCTAAAATTGATTAGGTAGGTATCAGAACCTGATCTCAAAAAAAATGAGAGTTAACTCTCGTCGTGAATAAAATGAAATAACTCACCTCGAGGGTTTTACTAAATCAGAAATAGAGATGGATGCATGACTTCCAGGAGTTCCAGGATGACCGGTGGAGCAGCAAGGGTGTCCATTAAGTACTTCTTCGAGCACGTGTCTCGAAAAATTCTCCAATAGAGACCTCCATCCTGAATACGATTAAAAATTGTACAACGATATTGAAAAGATAGTTTGAAATCTTACCATCACGCCGAAACATAATTTTTCCTAGATGAGGCTAGGTGCCTATGCAAAATTATCAGGATCTCCCAAGAGCCTGACGAGCCAACACGTTAAACAGCCAGCAGCAAAATGGCCCAAAAATGACCTCTCCGGAAAAGAGAACTTGACCCTGACATTGAACTTGACCCAGACATTGAACTTGTCAAAAATCGACAATATCACGGAACATTAAAAGTTGGAATTGGAACCAAAGATCGGAACTGTCAACGAATGAAATGTCTCGTAGCAGTATTTCTAATTGCACCTGTAAACTGAGGCTGTTGGTGATGTGACCTTGAACCATACGACTCTGGTTTGCCTCGAGCTAGATACTCACGAACATAACAATAGACCCGAAGCACAGTTTATTGCTTACAGAATCAGTTCGCTTACTCTGTGTCGGCGCTTTTGATCTTCATGGTCATCTTTTTCTACTGCGCACCTTGAATTTGTTTCCCACGCGCATGACAGCCATGAAGAATTATACAATGCTCGACAGAAGATCGTATACACTGCTGAACATAATAAAACCCTATGACGCTGTGATGCTCCAAATAACTAGGAATAAATGTTTCAGTTGTAACCACATGACAAAGACACAGTTGATACTTATTTGTTGAACTGATTCAAAATATTTGTGATATATGATGGAATTGGATGGAAATTTTGCAGGAAAATTGAAAATACAATAATTTTCATCACAATTATATATTAACATGAATATGAAAATAAGGTGGACATGTGCATAGTCTATACTACAGAACATACAAAAATAAAATACACAACTAGGTAAAAAGACTGCCTGTAAGTTAATCGAGGATGTGGCATAATCTATGGATTCACTATTCCAGATTTTTTGGGATTTTCTCTCCTCGTTTCTATAAAATAAAAATATGAGTATTGTTTCAATTTACGTGTAGTGAGGACAAATCAGATGATTTGCCCCAAAATGTCACTTCGTTTAAAAAATTCTCCGATCAAACAAGATTGAGTTAGGCTCTGACATTTTGGGGCAAATCTTGTGATTTGTCCTCACTACACGTATATTGAAACAATACTCATATTTTGATTTTATAGAACGAGGAGAGAAACTCACAAAAAAATCTGGAATAATGGACAACTAGGTATGTTTCAGAATTCTCAATTTCAGGTTGGGCTTTCTCTCTTTGATACCAGTTTTCAGATCTAGATTTAGGAATTTAATTGTATAATAAATCCTTACTCTAATGAATAATGATATCATATATTCTAGGGGAAAATTTTCACAAGGCTTATTGAATTGAATTTTCGAGAGAGACACTTTCAGATTATTCCCAATTCCCTGTTTAATTGATGAACTTGGAAAAAGTTCACAAAAAGAGTTCTCAAGGGCATGAATGTATGTTAAAAAATTCATGTTTGGCATTTGCAGGTTGCCAAATGTATCATTACTGGCATTTGGATATGCCCTGAAAAAACTGTAAATAGTGGACTCATCCAACTCAGCTACATCTTTTTCAAATTTGAAGCATGCATGACACTGGTGTTTATCCAATATTTTTTTGATGAAATAACCCCCGACATACACAAAACCATTTTTTTCAGTTATATTCATTTGGGTATAGTCCCTTGTTGTAATATCACTGAGAGTTTTGAAGGGTGATTGTTCTGCTAATAAAATCTGACAGCTTTGAACAACTTCCGGTGTGATACTTGCTAAGATTTTATCAAATTCGTCTAGGCAGTTTGTTCCCTCGGAATTGTCCAGATAAGTAATTCCAAACATTTTTTTGAAAGCTCTCTGAAATTGGATCGGTGTAGAATTTCTACAGTTTCCACTTTGCTGTCTTATTTTGCCAAAGAAATTCTCGAGACAGTCTTGATTCAGTCTCCTTGTATGAATTTTATGACTTTTTTTAAGCTTCAAAACTTCCCACAAACCCAAAAAAGCAGAAATTGACAATCTCCAGCCAAAATTAAATTTCATTCTTTTTGTAACATCCTTAGTGCCATTCATAATTACCAATGTTTCAAAGAATCCTAACATATCTTTCAAGAATTTAATCTGTGTTTCTGTCCCCATGAAAGGCCTATTGAAAGATTTTGCTTTGTTGAATCTAGAGGAATTGAATATGTCAAACAGATTGTCCATTTTTTCAATAAATTCGACAGTTTTTGAAGCTGCTGAAGGAAGTTTATTAAATGATATGTAAGCATTCATTGCTGCTGAAACAGAGGCACTGAAAACTTGTGCTGCATATTTGACTTTCATTTTTTGAAAATTATTTGGAAAAATGTGCATATCTGTGAGTTTGGGAGCTAAATGGAATTTTTCTTTTTTATCTGATGCATAAAATATTTCTAAGTATTTTTCATCAGTCATGCCATCTCCAAATTTGAAATTATAACTAAAAAAATTATTTCGTGTTGACTTCAGTAAATGAGGTATGTCTACCATGTAAAATACTCTCATATTATTACACATAAAGTAAGGTTTTTCAACTGATACCCCTAAGTCTCTCATTAATTTGAAAAAATTACTTCCATGATCTGATATGATTGATAGAACATTGAGTCCTATAGTCTTCAATTTTCTTATGGTGTCAAAAATAATTTCCTTCAGATCTTCAACAGGACAACTAGAATTAACAAAAAAATATGCTAGAGGCTGTTTCCAGTTTCCGTGGATACCTCTGGCGATCAACACCAAAACATTTTGGGCTGGCTGAAATGTTTTTTTTGATGGAGTTTGATGGAATCCAATTATTTCATCCTGGGATAAATTATAATATAGATGTGTCTTCAAAGACATTTCATCTAAGCATAAAGTACAGTCTCTTGTGTCATTGTCCAACATAGATACTTTTATTTTTAGAGCCTCAAACAAAAATTGGCTGAAACCTGGTGTGATATTCCATTTCGCAGTTATCTTCTGAAGAGTACTTCTTGAAGGTAATCTAAACATCAAAGGAACTTATAAGCTTTTGGACCCAAGAAATGAACAGTTAATGCAAACTGCTTATATTCGTTCGAGTATCTAGAACCTTTTGGAGATTTTGTGGCCAATGTCAGTTGTGTTTTTAAAAAGTTCGAAAGAT